GAAGTTTTTGACCAAAGTTACAAATGTTGTTTTTGAAAAGATAACATATTTCTTTCTTTTTAACCATATTCTCTGATATATTCTGTAGAGATTTTAATAATTGTTATATACAAATAATTTCAAAGCTTTAAATTATCTTAGCTTCCAAGTTTGTGTACACTGTAACACGTATACTTGTACTTGTGCTCCAGGACGATGAGTACGTGGTGTACAGTCCCGATCAGGTGAAACTGAAGTTTGTGGTTCAGTACAGCGTCGAGGGAGACGCACCCAAGGAGTTCAGTCCAAACATCAACATCTGCGCTGAGCCCTCTACGGACCGAGACGAGAAGACAACTGAGAAACCTGGCAATGGTATACTTCTCCTGAGCTTCAGCACTTTGAATGTCTGATCTGATATACACACCCATATCTTTTTGAGATGTCATGAGGGATGACTGAAAAAAAGTCTTTCTTCTTCCAGCTCCTAAAGACATTTTAAAACCACTTTGCTAATATTATATTGGTATTTGGGAACAACACAACTTTAATAAAGTACAATTCCCCTATCCACTAAATTAGGCAGCGTTTATCTTCAGACAGTAGGAAAGCTTTTCTTCCAAGATGAATGGACAGGTCAGAGTGTTTTGCCATTGAAAGGATCAATGTTGTCCTGTATTGTTGTCATTACCTCGCAATCAAACAAACATTGTGTGTGTCTTGGTTTGTGTGTAGATGAGGAGCTCATGTTGGATGAAACGTATTTCTGTCCTAAACCTCTGGATGACGTGAAGGCTGGTCTGATGGACAGCTCAGGCCAGCAGCTCCCTCTGCAGGCCGTCCACGTGAAGTGCAAACTGATGGATCTGCTCTCTCAGGTGAAGACAGACCAACTCATTCATATTGTTTGTTCAGATAGATGATCTATTGGTTGATTTGAATTAAGCCTCGTAAAATGCATCAGACTACCATAGGAGAATATATCTTATTCTCATTGCTACATTTACTGGATCTAAAAAAAACACTGTTATACAGTACAAGTATCTAATCTGTAATTAAACTCAATTGTTCCTTCTGTCCTCTTTTCAGGTCATCATCTTCCAGAAATACACCAATCTGAGCTCTGTGCCCATCGAGGCAAAGTACGTCTTCCCCCTGGAGGATTCTGCAGCAGTGTGTGGATTTGAAGCTTTTATTAATGGGAAACATGTGGTGGGACAGGTAACCTAACTTTACTTTTCATATCACGGATATTAGTCTTACCCTCTAGTTTCAGTGGTTCCCAACCTGGGGGGGGCGCCAAAGATCGCAGGGGGGGGTGCCAGGCCTCAGATGTTTTGAGGCCAAACATTTTTTTACATATAATTGTAATGCAATACATGATTGTCACTAAAAGCCTTGTCTCTACATTACAATAAAAAATAATTGATTAATTAATTTTAATAAAAATTCAAGTTAGCAGCTAATAAAAAGACAGAAATGTATAATTCTTTCTTTAATAGAAATGTTTCTTCTGCCCGTAAAGTGTCCAAACCGGGCTTGTCTGGATAAGCGCATTTTTAAAACATAGTCATTGTCCATGCCGGTTTCAGATTATTTGTCACAGCTGCTCCGATCAGATCGGTCTCCTCCATTTTGTAGATTATTTACGACTTTTGAATCCACATAAACACATCGGCAAAATCCGGCTTACTTTGAGCATGTGTTTTAAACAGTTTAATCCCTTTGTGAATTGTTTCCACTTCCGCCGTCCTTTAATTTCTTCATACAGC